GGGGGGTGTAGTCCTCCGGTCAGGTCAGACGCAGTCCATGTAACTGCAGTTGGAACAGAACATTCAGCTCAGAAGGAGTTTGTAGTGTGTAGTATGTATGTTAAAGGGACAGTTCATCCAAAATGAGAAGTCTGTCATTACCCACCCTCATGTCGTTAAAAAAACTGGATGACTTTTTCCTCTGGAACATAAAAGGATAAATTCTGAAGAATGTTCACATTGCTCTTTTCCATACAATGGGGCATATAGTAAGCAGGGGCCAGTTGAACCAGCTAAGTTACAACTTAGTACTAAATATACAAATGTTACCATTACACATAGTTGAAACATAATGCTATGTATACCATAAATATTTACAAAAGCATCCAACCAGTAGTAATAGTTGGAATACTATAGCAGACTGACTAAATTACTAAATTAATGTATTACTTCACAGACCTTAATCCTTTACACATATATGATGCTCCTGACATTTACACTTGTTTATGTTTTAGGAGAGAGAACATTATGTAATTAACTGACTTAAAGTGGCTCTTCAAAACAAAAAGTAGCCTATTTCTGCTGCAGTCACTATAACATTAATCAAACAAAAGACAGAAAATTCACTCGGTTTTCTTGACTGAATAACTTTTGTAAATATATTTGTAATGTATATTTATTACAGTTGCTGTACCTGAATACCTGAATTCCATGACTTTTCCAGGTTTTTCATGACCTTACGAACCCTGGAGCTCAGATAAATTCAGGTTTGTTTTCAGGCCTGTTTTTCTTGCATGGCCATAACATATTGAGCAAATTACCTAGAAAAAAATCGGATTATACGGTATATTATATATACTCTTCAAAAATATTATGTATAGAGTATTATACTCTTCAAAACAAAACCTTTTGGTGTGTGTGTGTGTGTGTGTGTGTATGTGTGTACCTGTTTTTCTATTCTGGTGGGGACTTAAACCTGAATACACACAGACTCATGGGGACTCATGTCATGGTGGGGACCTAAATTGTGGTCCCCATGGGTACAAAAGCTTATAAATCATACAGAATGAAGTTTTTTGAAAATCTAAAAATGCAGAAAGTTTCCTGTGAGGGGTAAGTTTAGGGTTAGGGTTGGTGTAGGGCGATATAATATACGGTCTGTACAGTAGAAAAACCATTACGCCTATGGAGAGTCCCCACAAGGATAGCAAACCAGACATGTGTGTGTGTGTGTGTGTGATCTTTTGTCACTATTTTTGTATGAATAAAATAAAATAAAATAAAAATATCCCACTTTGTATTTAAAATAATTCTTAGGTACAATGTACCTATTGTGGTCATGTTGAATTGCAAAACACTTTTGCTGCTATTGATGTGGGATACAGTTAATGTTAGGGACAGATATGGTTTAAATGTGGGCTAGGGGTAGGGTAATTACAGATGTTACTACAGAAATTAATTACAGATTTAATTACAGGAAGGTATTTTTAACTAAGTACAATGTAAAAATATGTATGTACACCATAAGTGCATTATATCACATAATTAATTAAAATGTAAGTACATAGTAGTTAAAGAAACTTAATAAAAAATGGGTAAAAAAAAAATTTTTTAATTCAGTTCTTATTGATGGGAGTGTAAGTGATAACACTACTAGTGTAAAGCAGGCAAAGAGAGAGTTTAACTGTACAGAAGAAGAAAAAAAATATTTTTTTACATCAAAAAAACAAAACAAAATCTCCCACACTGGCAAGCTAGCTTTTTATTTTATTTTTTCGCATGCAGGTAGTCTCGCTTTTGTTTGTCATCTCCTTCAACATGATTTGGTGCAAACGTAGTAGCTAAACACTGTGTAATTTAAATGAATTTATTTCATGATTTTTATATAACATTGACAGTTTCATGAGGCAAAACAAGTCTGAAACAAAGTGTACCACGATAAACTGTGATTTATTTTGATTTTCTATTGAGATTCGGAAAGCCCACCATGAACATTCTTCAAAGTATCTTCTTTTCTGTTCTACAGAAGAGAGTAAGCCATACGGGTTTGGAACAACATGAGAGTGAGTAAATGGCGACATTTCACAATTTTGGTGATCTATCACTTTAAATTTTGCAGTTTACAGTATGTTAAACATTAGCAAGCTTTTAGGTATGAGATTTTTTGCATTTTAAGCTTCTTGGCCTTGGCTGTATGTACTGTAAACCAGTGTTTCCCAACCTTTTTTTAGTCGCGGCATCCTTTGGAAATTTTATCAAACTTGTGGCACCCTACAAAAAACAATAAACTGCAGTGTCCCCAAACAGTTAGTGCTACACAGACAGTTAAACCACATTCCAACCTTTAATGAAGCGTAACTTGTTGATGTATAGTGGTCAGTCCAGTCTCAAAGGAGGACTTTTAAGTGGATTTGCACATAAAACACAAGAAAACTAATATAGGGACACATCATATAGACCTACAGTTTGAACACTGCTGACACAAGGCTTTTCAAAGCCAACAAAAAGATGCTTTCAGGGAGTCATGTAAGCAAAGGCTTCTGACAACTCTTATGAAATATTATGACTTCAAGTAAGCCATGGTTGTGGAGGAGTACTTCAGTTTGAGAAGACGAGGAAAGTTTATATTATAAGTTGAACAGCACAAAGTCTGTTTCCAGGTTTGACTCACTGCTCTTGTGTGGCTAAATCATTAAATCATTAGCCAAACTTGCTAACAAATCACCTCAGCAACGCGCCGTCAGGTGTTTGGCAAATATTTGCCTTGGAAGATTCAGTAACTCCTAAACAAACCTCCAGGCTACTGTACCTTCACATGCAGCATGCAAAACACTTGAAATAAAATAATAAACTTTATGGTTCAATGAAAGCAACAATACTAGTGTCCGCTCTAGCGATTCCCGCTAATACTGCTCGTCTTTCAATGGGTGTCAAACTTTATCGGCTGATTTGAAAATTGACAGTGTGTAGAGATGAAAACAAGTTAGAAAAGATGTCAGTTGTCAAAGAAACCGAGACATGACTGAAAGACACTTTTCTGTGCATGGAGAGAAATTAGCAAAATGTCACTCAGAGACTCATTAGCTTGAAGGCTAGGAGATGGAGTTAGTGACTCAAGACGCTGTGTGAGAATAACATCTTGTTAAAAGTTTTTTTTTTTCTTTTGGGACACCAGTCGAATCAATTGAAATGCCAGGTGAATTCTTCCTTGAAGAAAGAAACAAAAGAAGAAGATGAAAAAGTGAATAGCCCTTTTATCTCCTAAGGATATCAATAGCCTGCGGTCCAAGTGAACAAGCACTTAAAAAGGGATCAATGGAAGATGAGAGTTAAGTCAACAAGGTGGAAACGGAGACAGAAGACTCCAAAAACTTACTTACTCTCACTTATTTCTCTTTCTTGTTCACTGTTTGGCCTTTGGTTTGTGAGCCAGTGTTTGTACTACAGACTGAGCACAATACCCTCATGTCCCAACAAAGGCACGGTATTGCTTTTATGACCCACACGCACTTTGACAGATTGAGCGAATCCTAAACTCCCTGTTCTCTTTTATCCTTATCAGATTAATCTGGAGTTTTGGAGTCAGCATTTACCTTTACTTACTGAGCAAGGCCAGTGTTCGGTTACTCACATTGCGTGTCTTTTTTTATGCGCTACCTGTAACAGCTGCTTACTAGGCTATTTGAACAGTGTCTCCATAGTCAGGACTGTGAAAGGCAGGCTGGTTGGCTGAATACAGCAAAGGGAGTACAATGCCATGGCCCAGTCTGAACTCCAGAGTATAATATCTCTTCCTAGCGGACAATTGACAGGTTTGGTGAGTCAGAGGATGTTAGAAGACACACACTCTGGGTTGGCAGCTGTTATGACACAACACAGCCACACATGAGACAGAAACAGTTAACATCTTTCTCTTCCCTGATGAAAAGACCAGCATAGCCTGTCACCAGCATATGTTGTGTTTGGGGGGCTGCGGGTGTGCTGGTGTCTCCAGTCTTCTCAACAAGCTTAAAAAGTTGAAAATGAAATTTCTGTCATCATTTACTCACTCTTGTGTTGTTCCAAGCCTGTATGACTTACTTTCTTACGTGTAACACAGGTATTTTGTAAATTATAGACTATTAGTTGGTCTTTTCTGCGCTTGTGAAATTGAAGTGTGCTTAACTGTACGGAATGTGCACTTGTGGTGTACTTCAAATCTTAAAAGTATATTTTTTAAGAAAACAGTATTTGCAGATAATATAATATTAATGAATTAAACTTTCATGGTTGTTTCTAAGCTCACATTTGCATTTTTAAAAAGTGCACTCTGTAATAGTATCAAATTAAACGTTTTACATTAAAGAACGTTTTAAACATTATGTTTTAATAATATTTTGTTAACATACTAAAGCATATGTAAAGTTAATAAGTAGCCTACTTGATTATAATGTTATCTATAGTGTTATCCAGTATTACTAAGTTACTAATTTTTAAATGTACTAAATTGCAACTTCATTATTACAAATTACAAATATATTTTAACGTGACATACCTGTTTCAATAGAAATGACAAAGCCTATTTTAGTTTACCATAATTGCTTGTCAGTAGATTTGGCAGGACTTTTTATCCATATTTCAATGAAATTACATATAAAGATGTAATTAACTGGGTCATAAAGCACAATAAAGTATATTATTATAAAGTACATTATTTCTATAGTAATTTTAAAGTATGCTAAAGTGTACTTTTTGTGCAATTGCATTGAATGAGGACTTCCAAGCTTTTAAAATGACACAAAAGCACCAATGAAAGTATCATAATCATGGTCATAATCATAATCATAATCAAGACATTTGAGATGCTGTTATGTTGATTTTCCATCTTTTTTTAAGCTTAAAAGCTCAATTCATTATAACTGCATGGAAAAGAGTGACCAGCACCCTCATCAAAACATCTCTTTTTGAAATAAAGTCATACAGGTTTGGAAGGATGTGAGGATGAGTAATGACATAATTTTCATTTTGGGGTAAACTGTCTCATTAACCACTACAACATCCTTGGTCAACCAGCTTCAACTTTTTTTGCTGGGGAACAACATGGCCAAGCTTGTAAAAACCTATAACAACCAGCATAAACTAGCCTGAAAGTGCATCCTGGTCTTTTAGGCAGGATTATCATTAGGTTAAAGTGAAAAAGAGAGAAGAAAAAGACAGATAGAGGAGGCGAATGCAGCCAATGCTTCAAACCATCACCATCAAATTGACTCATGTTTATCCTAAAGAGCGCCTGTCATCTATCCAAACCACAACTTGGTTTGAACCTTTTCACAAAAACACTGTGCTCTCACCAATGAAAAACATGTTTGTTCTTGCTTAAAGAAAGATTTAAAAAGAGTAGAAGCACTGATATCAATCTTCACTAGACTCACCGCTCCAGTGAGTAGGCAGTGTACAGTGGTAAACACACACTTAAATAACCAACTAATGTTACCTAACGGTTATGAGTGCATCCCTAAGGTTAGGCCGGCTTTTGTTTCTCACAGAAAGCATGAGGGTGGGTCATCTCTGGTGTCAACTCTCCATTAGCAGGGTGGAGGACAGACAAAAAGAAGTACAGGTGCTTGTGTGCATGTTTCTCAAGCATGTGCTTCTGGGGTACAGCAGGGATATAAAGAGACAGAAGGACTCAGAAACTGATCCAGGCTGCAGGGAGCTGACTCACCCTCTCAAATGGCAGTGGGCTTGGTCTCTCTGATAACCGAGCCGAAGGAGCTTTGTGAGGCTGTGAGAGGAACAACACATGTCACTCACCTGATAAGCATTGGGGAACTTTACTGCAGGACACAAACACCAATGAAACACCTCCTCTCCGCCTGTTCAGCAACCTGACACGGGTTGGATAGGGATCAGCACTGAATTTAAAACGTCACACTGGTGGTTTGCTGATTGTTGTGGTGCTGAACCTCACACTGACTTATCAGGCCTTCCAAGAATGTCCCTCTCCCACATTTCTCCCTAAAGAATTAGAGTATCTGAAAAATTCATTTGACCAACCATTAATTTGACTAACCATTTGATTTAAGTATTAACATTGTTTCAGCTCTTTATAACGGAAAGTCACCATCAAAGACTATCTGCCTTATTCCTGACGAGCCTACTGCGTTTTATGGGCGGAACTTCCATTCGAAAAAACTGAAATGAATCATTTCAGATCATAAGGTTGAAGGGTGAGTAGCATATTGTCATCTCATTGTACTCAGTTAAAAAAAAATGCATTATTGAGTTCATAGAGCAAGCCTTCCACTGATTGTTTACAGCTTAACAGAAGTTACACCCACAATTCGCGCAAAGCGTCATGGGGCGTAGGAATAAGGTGGATAGAATACCAAAGACTCGTATGTCACTCGTATAGTTTTGAATGAGGAGAAATGCAATGCTCAATATGGCCGCTCTATCAAAGAAGCCCCACCTTCTGAGTAAGAGAGCCAATCGCTAATCTGTGTAGTCATCGCATCACTGCAACCGCTCGCGTCCGGTGTAGACACGGTGTTTAATGTCGTTGGTGAGGAGGAAAGCCTGTATGTGTCCTATGCCTTAGCGGACAGCATGAAACCCACAAAAAATAAATAAATAACAGAGAGAGAATAATAACAGTTAATCTCTCTATGCTATTCACTATGTTTCAAGTGATGGAGGTGGGGGGTTTTTTCCCTGTAGGTTTTTTAAATAAAAAAAGCATGAATTTTTCATAATGTTTAATGAAATTATTTGGTAGTCTGAGGTGGAATGGGGATTCGATTTGTATAGGTTTAAAGGGGGGTGCGACCAAAAATGTTTGAGAACCACTGGTCTACAGTTAACAGACAGTGTTTAGTGCGGTCCACATGTTTACATGTTTATTACAGTGACTTTGAATTACCTAAAGTAATGTGGTAAAGCAACAGATTTGTTTTTATATTTCTGCAATCTACTTTAGTTTGTGTCATTTGTTACTGACTTTCATATTCATGTTTACATCAGGCTTATTTGTCAGTGCTTTATGTTGTCATAATTATTACATGCTTACAAGGTTGGAAGTTCAAAACACATGATTGCAGGACCAGGACTTTATTCCACAGAAAGTGGGATCTGTCTCTTTAGAGATCACTTTGGCAGAGATAACATGAAAACGTTTATTGTTGTAATTAAGACCCCATCAATTAAATAGTTGACTATTTGACCTTCAAGGCTTAGTAATGTAAAATTTAAGACATTTTAAGACTTTAAACTGCAAGAAAACACAGTGCTTTAGCAAAGTTGTTTCAAAAAGTTTAACCCTTAATTGCATGAATGTTTCACCAATCATTACATATCGGGTCTATATCAATCCGGACCTATAACACAGATGGATCTCTAACTGCTGCAATAGCGTAAAACTCTCCTGATATTTTAATAACAATTACAAAAGAATAAAATGAAGCATATTCCATTACCTTTTTAAACTTGGAAGGGTTCAATTTGAACAGATGATTTTACAATCACTGTCATCGTCAGAGCGCATTTCCCCATTATATTAAGCATCTGGCTCATATTCGCGATTTCAACCATATCGTTTTCAACATCTTCAAAAACAACATTTTGAATGCTATTCACCACATCCACCATCAAATGACTGTGACACTTATATTTCATTGCATACAGTAATTGCTTTGCAGTAAAGCCAGTTAGTTAAATTTTTGCCAATGATATTTTTTATTTTATGCCTGCGGTAATTATGAGTGAAACATCACATCGTCATTGTCTATGAAACAGTGACACTCTGAGGAATAAAGGTAAATTGCATTTATTGAGTCATCGGATATTTAATTATTGTTGCGCAGAACAAAATATACTTACACTATTGCATAGGCCTACCTCCGGTCGCTTGCAACCCTATACACTTTTTACAAAAAATTTAAAAATAAATAAATAAATAATCAGAAAACAGACATTCTTTTTTTTTTCTTGTTAGATTGTTTAATGAATAGATTGAATAATATTAGGAAGGTTGATACGTAACTTTAAAAAAATGAATGAGGGGAGGGTATTGGGTCGCTACCGAGGTAGGCTATGTGTTTAAGGGATAATAAACAGTGAAAAATGTTTCACTGACTATATATTATTCAAATATTTTACATTTAAAATATTTAACATTTAATCTTTCCTGCTGTCACGGAGCAGTCCAGCGACATGACGAAGAAAGTGTATCATGATTGGTCCTCTTGTGTGCATTCGAAGTGCTGATTGGCTCACAGATAGAACCTTATAGAACCAAGTTAGAGTTTGACTTTGTAGATAGAACCTTTCTGTTTTCTAAATAAAAAGTCCCAAAATGTACAGAACTTAAAAAACATCACATAATGTAAGTAAGTTGTCACAGAATAAGTATATGTGAATAACTAAATTGACAAAAAATGTCAGATAGAACCTTATAATTCCAAGGCGACGATTTATACATTCTGAGTAAAGTTCTCTTCTGGAGCTCTAGAAGTTACTGTGTGTTTTGTCAAGAGAAACATCTGAAATATCTCAAAAGTCTCAATTTTCTCTCCATTTAGTCTCAAGGCTGTCTATGAGTAACGATTAAGATATTAAAGATCTAATTTATGATCCAGCTTTTCTATAGGTTGACAAAGCTGAGTACATTGAGACCTTGTTAACATCTCTTCTGAGCCTGGTGTTTTGTCAAGAAAAACGCCAGAGTTTCAAAAGTCTCAATTTGCTCTCCATATGGCCTCAAGATTGTATATGTTAAAGAGAGCTCATTTGTGATCTAGCTTATTGTTAGGTAGGTATGCTCATGGCCGTTTATGAGAAACAACTGAGATACTAAAGAGATCTCCTGTGTGATTGGTCTTTCTTTAGGTTGGGCAGATTTAAACCCAGTTTGCGACACTGCTAAGGTCCCTTCTGAAATGCGCAAGATCAGTGTAATCTTTTTCACAGGAGAAATATCTGAGAAGCGAAATGACTTCAAAAGTTTCTATTTACTCTTGATTTAATCTCGTTGCTCTCAAGGAGAAACAACCAAGATTAAAGTGCTTCATTTGTGACTTTTCTTCCCTATGAGAATTACACAGTGTGCTTGTCCTGTACAAATGAAGACAAACAACTACGAGGAAGAGACAGAAAAAAAGAGTGCATGGGGACAAAGCAAAAACACCAGTGTCGCTTTTCAATGACAACAGAGTATTTCCTCATGGTTTGTTGTTCTATTGAGCCTCATGTGATTCACACTCAGCAAAAAACACTGCATTAGTACACTATAATTAATAAGCAGGCTGTTTGCGGCAACACCTACATAATAATTTTATTTTGTTTATGATTTTAATAGAATCGGATAAGGTGATAATTTTCATTTGGATGAGCATGACGAGAGCCTGGACAGATACTGTAGATGTAGCTAAAAGGCCCAGAAATGCATGCTGCAATACCTTTCTTTTAGGGTGAAAACAGAGGAGATGTGCTTCTCTCTCCCAGGGGTGTTATAGCCTTTCATCAGCACTGGGGCACAGGCTTCGCTTCAAGTACAGAAACTGACCCTTATTTTCAAGCGGGGTCCAGGGGTATGGTCCCCTGTGAGATTTTTTTTCTGCAAGAACAGCACAACAGAATCTGAATCCTGGTGACTTTGGGAGCATAATTTTTACACTTTCTTCAGTACAGTTGTGTTGCACTATACTGTAACTATGGCTACGGATGATTTTACTAGTTTAATTTCTTATCTGCATAAATGTACCCTATACAATATTACAAGCCAACGTTCATTACCAAACAGATGGACACTAGACAAAAAGTTTACTTTCTACTACCCATTAACGTAAACTACGCCAGAGCGCGTACACAACTCACGCACCAGATGCCGTGCGCACGCCCAAAGACAGTTGGACATGATATAAATACTGTTCGGTTTCTGGCACAAACCGATCGTTTCGTGTCTTAGGACATCAATGTGTCGTCACGAGCCGCAGGGTTTAATTTGGATTTGTCTGTGCATGTTTTTTTTACTCTCATAGACTTTGTTACCATTGCCATGCATTATACGACTGATAGACTGCAACGGCTGGAGTTAAAAATCATCATATGTGTTCTACTGAAGAAACAAAGTCACCTACATCTTGGATGCCGTGGGGGTAAGCAGATAAACATCAAATTTTCATTTTTGGGTGAACTATCCCTTTAATACTTTATTTCTGCAAGAATGCACTAAATTGATCAAAATCCTGAAATGTATTATGGTTTTGACAAAAATTTTAAGCAGCACATCTGTTTTGAACATTAATAATAATAATAATAAATGTTTATTGAGCAGCAAAAAAGCAGCTAAAGAGAACAGAGCTGGCTGTGTATATGACCGGATTTGTTCACTGCTGCAGAAATGTCCACCTCATGTTCACATATCAAATATATGTAAGGTCAGACTGTGCCTGTCCATTATATATTCTCTATTTACCCATTTATCCTTATCTGACTCCACTCCCACCCTGCCCTGGATGACTTAGATCCAGCTGTTGTTTTGGAAACCCTCGCCAGCTCTATGGTTTGGATAGAACAAGAGCGAGAAGGATCGAGGGAGGGGGTGAAGCACGGAGAAAAGTAATAAAGAGAGAGTTCACTTCAGTACAACATTGTTGTTGTTTTTTTTTGTTTTTTTTTCTTGAGTCACGAAGCCTCTGTG